TCTTCACACGGGCCGCTGATCTTAGCTGATCATAGTTTGTCCAAGCTGGTCTAATCTAGTCACTGATGTGTTACTACCAGCGCAGGGACGGTTCCCTGGGATCAACAAGTATCCGAATGTGTACCCCCCTCCAAGGAGTGGTTTACGCAATCCATTCTCTCTATTTGGGGACGGGCGCTAAAATCAAGGCACTCTTTTATATATATTAGTAAGAAATGGCAAACAATATGAGTGATAATATCTAATTTGCATAGTAACATGCCCATATCATTTTTTTTATTATCACAATATTTCGACCGTTGTGTCCTCCGGACTTCATCAGGTGTATCGGAGGACACAACAACCGAAACGTTGAGACAACAACAACAAAGATGAGGACAACAGTTCGAATATAAATAGTGTAAGTAATTTATATCTAAAACTTTGTAAATGCCTCAAGTTGTATATAAATATTTTACCAGGAGAATATTAACTGAGCAATAATGAAAATAAGATCTACACGAGATATCACTAGATATGATCAGTATGACGGTAACAGTCTACTCCGGAAATTAAATAAAGTGTTCAGTTCAGAATTCCTTGTAGGTTACCCAGATCGATATGCACCTGATAAAGGCGGGGGGGGGGACAAAACGTTGTGATGACAACAACAAAGATGTGGACAATATATTAAATGCAAATAGGGTAAATAATGATAACTCCCCAACCCAGAAGTTCAGACAGAAGGCGCTCTGGTGATAATAACAACAAAGATGAAGACAATAGACTGAATGCAAATAGCGTAAATAATGATGACTCCCCAACCCAGAAGTTCAGGCAGAAGGCGCTCTGGTGATAATAACAACAAAGATGAAGACAATAGACTGAATGCAAATAGCGTAAATAATGATGACTCCCCCAACCCAGAAGTTCAGGCAGAAGGCGCTCTGGTGATAATAACAACAAAGATGAAGACAATAGACTGAATGCAAATAGCGTAAATAATGATGACTCCCCAACCCAGAAGTTCAGACAGAAGGCGCTCTGGTGATAATAACAACAAAGATGAAGACAATAGACTGAATGCAAATAGCGTAAATAATGATGACACCCCAACCCAGAAGTTCAGGCAGAAGGCGCTCTGGTGATAATAACAACAAAGATGAAGACAATAGACTGAATGCAAATAGCGTAAATAATGATGACTCCCCAACCCAGAAGTTCAGGCAGTAGGCGCTCTGGTGATAATAACAACAAAGATGAAGACAATAGACTGAATGCAAATAGCGTAAATAATGATGACTCCCCAACCCAGAAGTTCAGGCAGAAGGCGCTCTGGTGATAATAACAACAAAGATGAAGGCAATAGACTGAATGCAAATAGCGTAAATAATGATAACTCCCCAACCCAGAAGTTCAGGCAGAAGTTGTTCTGTGTATTTGAAAACAATGTCAATAAAAATAAAGACATAATGAGTACGAAGCTGAGTGAGGTCAGCCAGGTTTCTCCCTCGAAATAGATCGGGTATCAAAAATTGTGAAAGTTTAAATTTCAAGGTAAACGACCCTTGTATCTTCATTGTTTCGTACTATAGAATTGTAACTAATGTTTGATGCGTCTGCACTTCCACATACAATTTACATCGATATAATCCTTATTAAGCCTTTCAATGGATAAAAAAAGCCTTGTGAAGTGTTTCATTTATCATAATACTTTGATATAAAACGTTGGTTCCTTCATAAAAGAATGCATATAAAAGAATTAAACAATATTTTTAGCACATTTTATTGAATCTTAAGACATTTTTGTTTACATTCTATAGACGATAGACAGATAAACTCCTGAAATTGTGACTTGTCTTCTTCAAAAGAATATATATATACCATTTAGATATCGCCATGGAGTTTACGCTCTTGGAATGGAAAACAATCTATTATAATATAATGGATAAGTAATGAAATTGTTTTTTTTTTCCTCTTAGATTACCTTCTCTTCTAAGACATTTTATAAAAATCCAGTTCTGAAAATCTGTAGAATAGCTTGGGTGGTTCTATGTTTTGCGTTTGCATAAATAAACGTGAGCCTAAAATTTTGCTTAGCCTTTTGATGAACTCAAAAGATGGCGTCATTATGCTAATTCGCATTTTTTTTTTTTTTAGTTACAAAACAACAAAGGTTTACTTGATTTATACCAAAAAGATTTCGAGGGGTCAAAAAAAAACAAAACTTGTTTAACACGAACAATGGATGACATAAAAATTAAAAAATAAAATAAATTAAAAAAAAAAATGACAACTGAAAATGTCTTGTTTCTCGAGTTGAAACATCAGTCTCGTTGTTTTTGTTTTATTTTTATTTTTTCAAATATTTTTTTAATCGTTTCAGCCCACGCAGGGCGATAATGCCACTAAAAAGCATGGGATTGCATGGAGTGAAAGTGAAAGCGAATGCTCAGACTGAAAATGGGGAGGATTGAAAAAAAAAAAAAAGTACAGGATTGAAAAAGACAGTTACTTTATC